AGAGAGAGAGATAAGGACGAGCAGCTCATGGCATCGCCGTCTCTTTATTCCACATCCGGAGATTGAGCAGCAGATTTGGGGAAGAGGCAGGTACGATCTTGGCACGGGATTCCCCTTTTTCCAGCCTCAGAAATATTTCCCAGCGTGCACCGGGAGTTCCGCTTTTTCCCAAAGACAGCGGTGCTCTGGAATGAGCATGTCAAGGGGGCATAGTATTCCAGAAACACACACACAGTGACCCAAATCATTGGAATAATGGCAGAAACTTTAGATTGAAGGAAAAACTGGAGTGTCATGTTCCCTAAACAAAATGTGCTGTTCTCGATCCTCACTCTAAGTGCATGATTACTAGTGCTTAAAGTAATGAAACTGCATGAAAATCTATTTAATCTGTTTTCTAAATGCATGTTATTGATTGTGAACAATTTAGCCATGCATGTTTCATGTTTACAAACGTCACACCCAGTGTCAGGGTTACGCATTACAAGTAACGCAAGCTACGTAATCAGATTACTTTTTTCAAGTAACTAGTAAAGTAACATTACTTTTTAATTTACAAGAGAATATCGGAGTTACTTTTTCAAATAAGTAACGCAAGTTACTTTTTTCCAATGTATTGATTGACAGCTCTGGTGTTGCCATGGTGACAGAAATCAGAAGATGTTACTGTAGTTCTAAAATAAATATGAATATGCATTAATTCATCTCACTCACAAAATCAAAAATAAAAAACAGATTCAGTATTCCTCAAATTGAATAAAAATAAAGCAACTCAGAATATGACGCAAACCTGCAATAATTAAATGTTAAACAACACAAATATCCTTTATGTATTTAATCCCATTCTATTAGCTTCTGAGCTTCGATGATGCAGTTCAAGCGTACTAATAATCACACATTACTCCAGACGAGCATCTGTGTGTCTTTGTTTACTGCTGAAGTGTTGAAATGTCTTCTTCTGCATTCTACTGTACTTTCCCTTCAGCCTGAGGCGCATTCATTTCACTTCTGCTGAGAAAGGCTTTTATATTTGCCAAAAATATTACTTTTATATTTTAAAAACAAGCAAGCAAGCCCTGTCCAGATTTAACAAGTAACGCAAAAGTAACGTAACGCATTACTTTCCATAAAAAGTAACTAAGTAACGTAATTAGTTACTTTTTTATGGAGTAACGCAACATTGTAACGCATTACTTTTAAAAGTAACTTCCCCAGCGCTGCTGATACCTGGATCTTCTGTCTGCTGACAGATCCGTGTATTAATGAGGCAATTCCTGTGTTATTTTAGTGTCATTGAGATGCTATTATAGCTTTTATTAATATTTTGTTTCATTTTTATTTTAGTAATTTTGTTGTGTATTTTGTCTATTTATTTATATATATATATATATTTCGATATAGGTTAGTTGTTATTCATTTTTATATCGTTTGTTATTTTATTTATTATTATAGCTAAATTAAGTTAAAATAAAGGAAAGTTAGAAATGATGTCTTGGTAACTATCCAAAATAAAATGTATATATATATTTTTTAAATTTTAGTTCATGTTTATTTTATTTAATGTAATGAGTTTTTAATGGTTTGTTTCTGTTCTCATGAATAAACCTGGACACAGCTATAGAGTCTTTCTTTCGTGATGTAACTTGGAAGGCATTATATGAGCCGCAGATATTCCAGAGGGTTTGAAGGGGTCAGAGGTCAGCTGTAGCACCCGGTACTGGTTAAACAACGGCACACAGGAGAGTTAATTAGTGACCGATTTCAGCGAACCCTTTAATGAACCTGCTCTCTGTCTGTGTCTGTGTCTGTGTGTGTGTCTGTGTGTGTGTGTGTGTG